GACAAGTGTCCGTACGGGGATGGGGTCAAGCCGTGCACCTGTGCCGGGGATGAGATATTCACGTGTGCGGGCGATAAGCCCATAAACCTGAAGGAGATTTTTGGCAAATTTAGCAAAACCTTAAAGGATGACCAGAAAGAGTTGGAACACATTATTATCAAGAACTCGGCCATAGAGGAGATACCGGACAATGTGTTCGGAGACATCTATTTCCGGACCATTACTTTTACCGGTTGTACTAACCTCAAGAAAATTAGTCCCAATGCCTTCTCGGGCACCGACACCTTCACTGAGAATTTTAACATAGATAATAGTCCAAAATTAGGGGCCACCCCTAACGTACTCTTTGATGTGTTGAATAAATTCAAAAAACTTGCAGTTATTAACATAGGTCATGTAGGTAGGTGCCAAAACTAAATTAAATTTTTAAAATAATTTCTGTTTTATAATATTTTCTATTATTAACGACGAAATGAGAGTAAATTAAAAACTAATTGAATGAATAGGTCTGAAGGAGATCCCATCGCCTGTATTCAAATCAATGGACAAATTGTTTTGGTTGGCCATCAATGGGACGGAAATCACAAAAATCAATGAAAAGGCTTTTTATAATTTAAACACTTTGACGGAACTACACATAAAGAGATCCCATCGCCTGTATTCAAATCAATGGACAAATTGTTTTGGTTGGCCATCAATGGGACGGAAATCACAAAAATCAATGAAAAGGCTTTTTATAATTTAAACACTTTGACGGAACTACACATAACCGAAACATCCATTCCCCATATCGGGTCCAACGTGTTTGTATTCAGCGAGAAGTCGGACATTCCCCTCGAGTTAGTGCTGTATAAGAACCCTAAGCTGTCGGGCGCCGGCGCTTTCGACGCCCAGACCTTCATGAATATGGGTCGACCCGGAGTGTTGGACTTCTCGGGCGACCATTTGGAGGGTGACGTGAGCTTCAAGCAGATGAAGGTGTTGGACGAGAAGATATTCTTACCGTTCCTTAAGCTCAACGAACTCAATAAGATAGGGATGAGGGGACAGCCGTTTGATTGCGACGACTGTCAAAACGCGTGGATTAAAAAGATGCCAAAACTGGACCAACAGTTTGAGGGCTTGAAGTGCGCCAATGGAAAGGACCCCAAAGACGCCGTCAACTTTGCTAAATGCAAATGATCTGGCTCATTAGATTATTGGTTACTATGTTTTAATAAAAGTACTGATGTATTTAATAAATTATTTTAAACATTGAATTTATATTAAGCTGATTATTTGAAGTTAATTATTTTATTTATCATTAAATTTGAAATTTAGATAATGTAATACTGTAAAATAATTACTAATTCATTAGTATTACTTAATTATCTTTTTTTTATGTCAGGTATGCATTGTAATCATCTCATAGATATAATGAAAATAGTAATTATATTTTTATAATAAATTACATTTACAGTTATATAATTTATGATCAAATATTAATTTATTAAAATAAAATTTACAGAATTTTTGAAATTTTGCTTAATAATATTTTACTCTATTTTTAAAATTACAATGTATTAATTGCTATGAAAAATTATCTGTATTACAGTTTATTGCAATATTTTGATATTAAGTTTTATTCAGAAAATTATTTATTAATTTTTGTTAATTATTATATCAAATGCTTGACAATCAATGGCTTGAATAGTATTAATATTAGGTTCAAGTGTTGTTTGCTTTTTAGCTAAATCTATGCGATAATCCTGAGTTAGCTGTATGAATCTGACCAGGGTAATGAATAGATCATTAATAGCCATTATACAGACATTATATAGACAGACAGTATTAACAGACATATCCTACGGCCGGTGCCAAACGGTATGAATGCTTTCGATTTAACAGTCAGGAAATTGCCATTTGAAGTGAAAAATCTATCAGGGTTAAACTGCTTGGGTGCTGACCAGTACTGAGCGCTCATTGAGATTGCGTATTGATTAAAAATAACCACAGTATTGGTTGGTATATAATAATTGGTATCTGTGTTATTGATTTTAATGTATGAATGAAACTTATAAATATTATGAAAATTAAATTTCAAATAAATGTTCAGAAACAAAACATACAGTTTCTGGGATTTGAATATTTAAAACAGCCCTGCTCCAGTGATTATTAGTAATGTTTATGCTTTGATTAGCATTTATTTAAATATTCAAATAATACCTAATGTAATGGGAGTTAATGTCCGACGGGGGGTACCAAGGGCTGCGGGACCTCTATACCTAAGTGTCTCACATATAAATGCCATTACATAACTCAAGTGATCCCGATCACCTACGTGTGGTATACGATCACCTAGCTCATTGCGCACCTCATCTCGTAATTGTTGCTGTATTTTGGGATAATATGCCATAAATAATATGATCCATTTAAATGCAATTTGTGACGAGTTTGTGGCCGCTTTTAAATTATATTAACTTAGTTAGCATTAAGTAATTAACATAAAACTTGAAATAAGCTAATTGATCATAATATGATTGGACTAATTGATATATTATATTACCTATAACTAAATCAAACATGATGCCGGCTATGTTTTCATCATTCAAATGCTCGGATTGCCTCCTATTATGACAGTCGGTCTCTCGTTTGGCGGCAATGAGTTCATCGCAAAAGTCTTGTCTCATATCCCATTCAAAGGACTTATCGTGTGTTTTGTAGATATCTTTCATGTAATCAATGATTTCATTGAAATATTCATCATTTAATTCCAATGGATTTTTCATCACAAGTCCTAAAATAGGTATGAAGTCATATAAATAGCTCAATATTTCCGTTTCTGGTTGACTGTCAACATAATTAATTTCATCATTTTTAGTATCTTTTGGTCTACCCTGGTTAGTTGGTATGTAACATGTATTAATTTTAAAAATTCAATGAGCATTTTTGTTGAATACATACTTCTGGCTGAATACAGACGAACCCATGATATTTGCAAACATATTGAAAACATAAAGATTGGGATCAAAGGGTTTGTTGAGACCCTCGGTATCGATGATTATGTCCACCATTTCGGTCACACATTCGTCCACTAATCTCAACAAATGATCAGATTTTGCATATTTCCTAATATTTATTTAATTGTGAGTAAATACAATAAATATAGTGACTAATAATATAGTGATATATTATATAATTAATATTCTATAAATTAATTTATAAGACAATAAACACAAATAAAATACCCTGGCGCTTTTCATTACTAAACATTTTAGCTGTAAGCGTTAAATAATTTTTTAATACATACGGGTACATATTTAAGTAATTTTTATAAATATAATTACTAAATGAAGTGACCAGATATTTGCCATTTATTAAAGGCTTGTCGACCAATATATATGTCCCCAATGAACACAATTGGCCATGGTCCTACCCATATTGTTATGACAGGTCCATAGGTTTTATATAGTTTTGCCACTTCTAGACTCCAGTGCTCTTGGTAGTTTTTAAATACTATTTTTTAAAAATTCTGCGTTAATTATATATTAAGAATCGTTTCATTGAACCAATTACTCAAAAGATTTCCAATTATTGGTAGGGGTAGAGGACCGGGCGGGTAGTTAATCAGTGATGTGTAAAATCGTGTCAAATAATAAACACTAATACCAATTAATAGTGCAGGGACATAATTAAAAAATAAACTAACAGCTGGTACACTGAAGTAGCAAAAAAGATAATTATGTTAATTGAAAATTAAAATAAATACTTTGAATTGTACCTTTCACATATCATTATTTTATGAAATTGTTTAGAAATTATAATAACCACAAATGTAGTAATGTTGAATTTTATCAAAAGGGTTTTTAATTAAATCTACAATAAAATATGTTAAAATTTAATAGAAATAATATTTCTGGCATCTGTTAATTCTGTATAAAGTTTAAAATATTTTTTACTACCTGTAGTATTAATAATATTAATACTAGTGAACTTAAATTGAATTAATTGTATTATTTATATAAAAATACATTTATTATGAAGATTTATTTTAATTAATTTATAAACATTTAATGCAATATTTTTGATATTCAAATCTAAAAGTATTATATTTAAAAATTATTTTGATTCAAAAATTTAATATAATCTCGTCTTTTAAATAATAAAAATACAGATACAAAATATACCCCGATTCAATCAGAATTACACTCAAAATATAATATTAAAACAAACTATAACTGTTAATATTTATAATTGTAAATTATAATGATTGTTAAAACATTGACCGTATAATTATAAGTGTATGCAAATTATAATGTTTACAATAGTACTGAATTGTATGATAAAAATTATATAACAATTCAAAAATAAATATTGTTTAAAAGGGAAAGCAATATGTTAATTTTTAGCAGTATATCAAAACATATTGTATATAATTAATCATGTTAAGCCTTATTGAACATATGATACCTGTCCAGTGTGGTGGCGTACTTAAGCTGACCACCGGTGAAGTAGAATATACATCTGACCATCATCTCCATTACGGGACTAAATCCCTGGCCATCGGTCAGTATATCCTCACTCACACAATACATACGCTCCTCTTTATCTGCAATGCGGGATATAATGGCATCCATGGCCTCCATTACGGAACAGCCGTCCAATATGGTGGTCAGCGCCACCGTATTGAACATACGGCGCCAATCGTAGGACATGGCCAGCGCCTCCTTCTCGAAGGAAAAGATATCGTTCATTAAAACTGTTATTTCGGTGCATAAGTCCAGGAGCTCCTGTAGCCGAGGGTCGGCCCACTCCGAGTCCGTCAGACAGAACTCAT